TGATCCTGTTTACCAATGAACCCAAAAACAAACTTTGTCGAAGTCCATACTATAATCTGTGTGTGCACCAGCCCCCACCAGCTGGTAGGGAGGTGAGCGAGTAAAAAAATGACGGACCCAGGTAGCTGACTTCAGTGCAAGAAGTGCTCTATTTATTTACAGTGATGATAAATATGTGTACAACCAGGTGAAGGAATACGGAGCAGAACCGGGTGTCGAGCGGCAGTCATGGAAAACATACAGTCAGTGATGAGATGATAAGGAGGAGGCCGGGCTGCGGACGCTAGGATTCACTCCTCGACTGGTCATGGTGGTTGGTTGCTGAGGGACAAAGTCAGAGAAACAGTTAATGGGAGACTGTGCATTGACCTGCGTGGTGGAGTGATGTGGAGTTGAGGAGGTCCATGGTCCGGAGAAGCGATAGCGGCTGGGAAGATAAGACATGGGGCACAAGGCAGGAACGGAGCTGGGGTGAAGAGCGTGAGCAAATACATATAGTAGATAAAATAAATGATCGGCATAGAAACGGGCTAGAGTATAGAAAGAACTGGCAGGGAAGTGGACGATGAGCACGGTATAAATAGGAAGAAACTAATCAGGTGCAGCTGGTGGTGATTCAGGGGACGTGAAGCAGGTGTGTCAGATAAAGAAATCAGGGGTAAGGGAGCTAAAATAGAGGGAGAGAAGTGAGAGAGACAGGTGCAGCCGGGAAAACCTGACAAAAGTATAAGTGAGGAGCATATAGGGTTACAGTCAGACGTGCCCCATAAGAAACATGGTCTTCAACATGTGCCCATATTTATTTTATATTTTATTGTGTCAGCTTGAAACCATACAACCATGTAGTGTATTCGAACAGGAATGTGCATGGCGAATCAAATCCCAAACAATCCATGAACCAATAAGTGACACGTCTTGACTGCACTTCAATTTCTTGACCACTAGATGTCCTACTCGAGCACTGTGTCATTGAGGCCTCGAGTAATGAACCATTTGTGTGAACACTGTGTCGAAGCTTCAACAAAGCCTCATCGGCCATCACTGTTTGGCGCGTGTTTACACCGGATGCCCTTCCTGATGCAACTTGCAGGAGGCAAACAAAACAGGACATAATCAGAATGAGGCAGGTAAAACAGGAGCAAAGCAGGATGTGGTGCAGAGATGAACCAACAAACTAACTGAGGGGAATGAGGGGAATGTATCGGCTTAAAATGATGCCAATGAACAACAGGTGAAGGCAAAGAATGATGATCAAAGGCTGGAGTAAAGCTCACGCAGGTGAGTTGACATGGAACAGGAAACGCTTTCAAAATAAAAGCACAGAACAGGAAGTAGGCCCAAACCATGACATTGTATTTGTGTGTATGAACACTTCCTCATGTATGTTAATGGGCTCACACTTATGGCACAAAATGACAGTCACTGCAGTACATACACAAGTGTCTAGCATGTGTTCTGAATCTTTCAAGTGATACTTTTATTTCTACAAACAGTTGTTTCTGGCATGAGAGACAATGCACCCAGTTTACCAGTTATCAGAATCAGCTTTATTGACCAGGTGTGTTGGACAAACAAGGAAATTGACTGTGGTACATCAGCTCTCAATGTGTATGTACATACTGTATCCCCATGCAAGGGGCAAGTAAACAGTAAACCAACATAAGGCTGTGTAGTATAACAAAATAAACAGTATTAACAAGCAACAAACAGTGCAAACAACAAGCAGTAAACAATGCTGACAGACAAAGGAATGCTCATTGTGAAACGAGATAAATAGGAATAAAGATGAGTACTTAAAAACAGAAACCGTGTACGGGTCTGTATACTCGTATATTTATTAGGTATTAGGTATTACAGTTAGTCTATGCCTTTGTGAGTGCACTTTTCCTTTTTACTGTTTTGTTGTGTCTGATTTGTGATAACTGTCACTGGTTTTGTTGTCAAGTACTGTTTTAACCAATAGGTGCTTCCAGTATAACGCCTCTTAATCCAGCTGCCATCCTTAATCTTCAGTGACGTCTTTAGCCTGCTGTATACCTTCATTAATACATAAATGAAGGAAAAACCACATTAAACACTCATTATACAGAAAAAACCTACAGTATCTTACAAAATGCATTGTTTAGCAATGCTCTACTGCAACCTCAGTGCCAGATGGAAGGCAGACGCCCCTGGCTCCATTGTGAAGGCCTCAGCCCCGGCCTAAACCACTACCAGCAGTAAATTAGCTAGGTAATGTTCTTTTGTTTTCTTTATTCATGCATGTAGATTTATGTGTTTGTGCAGGACATACAGAAAAATCAAAATACTGTTTCTCTCTCGTGTAATGTTGAATGCCCATACCATTTAAGAAAGTAAAACAGAATAAAAGTAGAATAAACTCAGAATATATAGTGAGTTGACAATAAAAATCTTTGATCTTGATCTTGTTGATGTTGACTCCGACTCCTTATTTTTGGGTGAATTAAGAAAAAACCTCTTTTTTGAATTTTAAAAGCTGTGTTCTCTGCCTTACTGTTAGGTCCCTGACATCCACCCAGGGTCTTTGTGTCAGGCTCGGTATTTCTGTCTTTGCTAGTCAATTAGTCTGACTGGCCCTGCTGCAGCAGAATACATGGTAAGTACATGTTCGATAACAGAAGTCTGCACAAATGCATCAGAAGAGTCTCACACAGGCATGCACATGTGCTCCTCAGCAAAAGTAGGCCGCACTGTTACATAACAGACATGAAAAGAGCATTAGGTTAGGATGCTCTGTCAGCAAAAACAGTCTTGTGAGGGTTATGTTTTATTAAGATCTTTTTTCTCTCTCAAGGTGTTAAATCTCAAGAGTTTGACAGAGCAAGAACAGGTTTATTTACATTAGGTGTCAATCAGGAAAAGTCTACTTCAAAACCAGATAAATACCAGGTTATTCTGCTTCCACTTGTGGCAAACTGAAATGTAACTCAATATTTTAAATGACAAAAGGCTAAAGATATTACTGATTACAATCAGTGCCATGAACACCCATCTGTTCTCAGTGATAAGGAGGCATGAAAGCAGGAGATGGCATGTAGGAATGCACTAGTCCATCTACTGTTTTATGAGGTTTACTATAAATTGTTATGCATTTCTTAAAACCGGGCACTATGTAAAATTTGAAATGATTAACAAAAATGAACACTAAAGCTGCGTAAGTTTCAACACTCATTTATTTGCCTTATATTTTCTTCACAACTTTTGTTACGTGTCCACAGACATGAGAACTCCAGAACACTCAAAAGATAAACGTAAGCACTGAGATTAAGACTTCATCACGGACGGGCCCGTTTTCACTTCTGTCAAGCAGCTCCAAGTAAGAGTGCAGAGCTGGGACCATCTACCTGGTCCATAATGGCCACCTGACTCACACTGAGCTGAAAACCATTCCCTGATCAGCACTCTCATCTCTGGGGCGACACTTGACAAAGCAGCAGGCCAGTTGTTCTTATTCATCACGGTATACACAGGAAGAGAGAGTTAATATCATCTGTGTGATGAGACCCAACACAGAAAATCTCCATTTATATACAAGACAGAGCCAAGAGGAAGGTTTCCAGTTAGTCAGTACAAGGATCGTGGATGACAGTACTGTACAAGCAGCGCTTCAGGGGGAAAGCCGCTGTCATTAGCGAGTGGTAAGGTAGGAGAGGGACGGCAGCAGTGGACCTGCATGCTTTGGTCCACAGCTATGGCAGTTAAAAAAGCAGCCAAATAAAAAACAATCTACCCATTTTCAGTGATTACTGGACTAGACTGTCTCACAAAGTGGTTTTAACATGATACCCTGGAACTATTAGGGCTGGAAGCATCGCGAGTCATGTGCCAGCTGTAAATTTAAGAAAAAAAATAGTGTGTGTGTATAAATTCAATTTGGTATAGTGGCATCATTTCAGAATCTAATCTACTTTCAGGACAGGCTCATAATGTTTTTAAACAAACCCGATGTTCCCCCCGTACATTCTTAAAACCTCATCATAAGGAATTATATATAAATATAAAAGATGCTTTATGCATGAGTGCAATACATTTTAAGAACATAATCATCCTTCAAATCTTCATGAGTACAACTTTTCATTTGTCGTCAGTTCCAGCAGACAACGTACAGTGTATATACAGTACCTATACCAAGATGACCCAAAAAAGTCTGGAAAAAATAAATTCTATGCTAAAGATGTCAATAGAAAGAAAGAAGCTGCAAGTTGCAAACAATCTAATGAAAAATGTAAATGCAAACTTTGTATTATTCAGATACAGATTTTAAAGTATTAGGCTTCACTGCTCAACAGGTTCGTTGGCCGTTGGCATATAGAGTCCTAAATACTTTGACTGTGGGTAAGGTCTGGCAATAAAATCATCATAATCAGTCATGCAGGAAACGAGGAAAATGGGATAGACAAGATGGTTGGCTGACCATGTCGAGAAGGTGTATATGTATGAATAAGATTCCTTTCAACTGAAATATTACAGTATGCATACATAATATATTAATTATTCAGGACCAACGTTTGGGGTCATCTTGGTACAGTTCAAAATAACAGACAAAAGCTAGGAACTATCTCTGGACATGAAAGTCATAACTTACAGATAATGTACTTGTTTCTGAGACTGTCAAATATCAAGTGGCTACCGTACAAAAGCTACAGTAAGAAGGGAACTGCTTTTAAATGTGACATTTACAGTTAATGATAATGAAATACAATGCACTGTACTGTTACAGGCTAAACAAACATACTATAGAGCATCATTGATAATATTTACTCTCTAAAACATCAACATAGATCATCAATATTTATATTTAAAAAAAAAGATCAGTATCTACTATTACTTGACAAAGCTTAACCTTGGACATACGTAACTAACTTCAGTGTTGATGTCAAAGACAATGATGAAGGAGGGAGAGAAGTAAAAGAGGTGAAGAAAGGGAGGCACTGTCTGGTGCATGGACAAAGCTCTTGCCCACTCAAAGTAACTGCCCTCAACAGATTACAGGTCCTGTATCATTTACAACTTCCCATTTAGCTGCTAGAGGAGACTTAATTAATCAACGTATGTAGCAACTCTGCTGGCCTGTACAGACAAAGTGCACGTTTGATCAAAATTAAACCACACACATGTACTATACAGTCATCCTCCATATGTATTTACCATATAAAATATTATATCTTAGGTCAATTTAAAAGAATAGTTTAACAGTTTGGGAAATAAAATGATCCCCTTCTTGCCAAAAGTTAAATAAACAGAGATGATGCATATAATCAAAGTTCCCTGAGGGGGGGGGGGAACCCAGTATCACTGTGCCTGGCTCAGAAACAGTCTGGCATAATATCTACATGTAATTTTTAAATGTCAGTTTGTGTATGGATTAAATAAACAAGATAAGAAATGCTAATCAGTGAGATTTAGAGGTGCCGGTAGGCAGATTTTTGTTACCCTCAGACACAACCAGGATAGTTGTTTCCAGTATTTGTTCTAAACTAAGTTAACCAGATGTTAGCTTCAAGTATAGCATACAGACACCATATTACTAATGCCAATCCTCTTGCCTAACTCTTGGCAAAAAAGCAAGTAAGCATTTCTCAAAATGTCAAACTAATTATTTAATATTGTGTTATTTCTCAGATAGTCTGCTAACATATCTGCACAGCATTTAAAACAACAAGAAAACAATGCTTTGGTTAAAACAACTTGTGTATATAATAAAGACAAAGTGCCATGCAACAAAACATGTCAGTGGTTCTGTCACCAATAACAGTGCAGAGAACCTACAATAGCAACAATAAATAACATTTTCCTTTATGGGTATACGCACAATGATTATGTAAAAAGAGCATATGTGAAGAACAAGACGAGGACACGAGTTCTCTCCCAGTGGTGGATTATTTTGCCTTAGTCTAGCCCATGAACTCAGTTTTCATTGAACCAGTTAAAGGAAAAGGACACAGACACAACATGTCCTAACCAATCCCTCCTCTTGCTACTTTAATGTGAAAATGGGTGATGTGCTGTCTGAAAAGTGTGCAGGGAAACAAACTCTATGCTGTCAAGCACCACACCATTCCAAACTGAGGTAATGTACAATGTGTGTATGATGGCTGTATCATCCCTGCACTTATCACACTTCCACATAGAGAAACATTCAGGTTGTTTTCATTTCCCTACTCACCTCGTGACATTAGAAATACATGAGCAGTTGGTTTACAACTGGGATTTATATTCAGTTATGATAAATGATGGAGGGACTGACCATATAGTAACAGAACTAGTCCCAATGCCCAGCAGAGGTAAGTTTAGTACTGTGTTTGGGTGGTTAGTTTGTCTTATGAATGCTAAGGGTCAGGAGGGAGCGCACCATGCAGGGTTGAAGATGTCGACTGCAAAAAGAGAGTAAGTGCAGTTTTGCTGGGGTTTGGGATGAGCGATTCAGTCATGTCATATATAGATGGGTAGTTAAATGGTTTTATGTGCAAGTTTGTTCATATGGTCCTATGATCAGTAGAGCAGGATGGTTAATTGAGCTTTTAGATTGTTTTGTTTGCTGTTTTCCCACCGGGCCCATTCACCTCTCACATCCTCTGAGCGGACGGGACAGACTGGAGCGACTTTCTTCGAGAGAGTTTGGACCTTAGAAAACAAGGAGGGAAGAAGTGGAGATGAAGATTAAAATACATAAATGACACTGTGTGTATCTGCAAAGCAGCTATGATAACATTATTTCACATAAATAATTTCTTAGGAGTTTTTCTGGAAAAAAAAGCAGGTGGTTTCATAGAACTGGCAAAAAAAAAAATTAAGCCTGAAGTAACTTATTTTAGGCCAGTAGACAAAAAAAAAGAACATAACACCGACATTTCACCTTTTAAGTTTATATACCACACAGCTGCTAGTTTACACATCCCACAATTACAGAACAACATTATGGATCATTTGGAATCAAGTATCTGGCCACGTAGGGAATGTAAACACATTACTCCCTCTTTGTAAGAGACAAGGACTTAGATGACCCAAAGGCGATAAGGAGTTTACATTTTAAAATAGCATTAAGGTAGAGGAAACTCAGGTGTAGACCAGACACATGGAGAAACCCACAAAGACTGGGGAAAGGCTGACTTGGGAATAAAACACCGCACAGTAAACTGAAACTTGTTTGAGGACCAAGTCAGGAAACGACACTATGCAGGTAACATAATAACCAAGTATGCGAACATGTGGCCGACTAAACTGCACCTGAACCAAGGAGCAAAGACTGAAACACAAATAATGACAATACAGCAACACAGATGAAAAACAATAACAAGAAATGCTAGAAACTGAGTGAAAGTAGACAAATAGTGAGTAACAGTGCATTTTTCAATTACTTGAAGTACTGAGCAGTTTCACCTCTTAAGGTCTAAAATCCTACAGAATAAAATACAATGAGGTGTCAGCTGTTTAAAGAAGTACCACAGTATCTTAAGACAAAAAAGGCTCCTCTGCTGATTGGATTTTCCTTGAAATTCTTCTAGCACTCACCTGATGGTGCCGGCTAACAGAGGGTTGAAAGCGTACAACCAGTCATGCATCTCTTTGTCATTAGTGGCCTGCAGCAGTATCCCACGGTGCTCAGTGCACACAGCAAATGTGTTGGGCGTCTGGAGACATTAAATACCCTGAGGTTACTAAATTTCATTCATAGACTCTGAATTTCTGTTTACTTTTTTATTCAGATACAGGTTTTCGTTCGTACCCGCAGTAAGGTCTGTTTGTCTTCACTGTATTCCACCTTTGCAGATGACAGGTTGATGACAGCTCTCTCGACGCTGTCCCTCTCGCTGCGGTACAGGTAGACATAGGGCCTCCGCACCACCACGTAGCGCTTCACCCAGCCGCTGGTGTGTGGCTCCAGGAAGTGCAGGTAACCTTTCTTTGACACAATAGGGCTGCATATGATCAAAGAAACACTATTGTTAGGACAAGATTAATAAAACTTCGCCACAGCCATTGTTAAACTATGCTTGATCCCAAAAGAAACACAGCAAAGTTCACAATTTAAATATTAATTGTGTCCACAGTGACTCAGAACCAAGAGTGGTGTGTGAGTCTAACCTGACACGAATCTCCTGTATGTCAGGAACAAAGGTGCATCCTCGGAGAGCTTTCTTTCTATCCACTGGGCTGAATGGATCCAGATCTGGGGTGGACGCTCCTGAACTGGGTTCAGTGTGTCTGCACAACGCAAACAACAGGTTCAGATTGTGAGAAGATGCTTCTGGGCCTATTCATAAAACAAATTGACTTAATTCACTAACCCCTGCCTTTTAACGTGATGCCTGTCTATCATCAGAGAAGGTGCAACAATAAAACCAAGACATTTGCAGACGTGATCTATCATCACTTGAATACCGTTGAAGTTCTTCTTTTTCTAAGTACATGTAATGTACAAGACCGAACTCATGAAAACTATTTTTTAAGAGCTATAAACCATGACGGTGTCTTGGAGCAAAATATCCAGCCAACACACACAACTGAGTTAAACTCAGTTAATCTGTAAGAGCATGTGTTACATACCTAATGTCATAGTGTCCCTCGACCAGTGAGGGGCAGGTAGAGGATGGAGTGAGCGTGCTCAGTTCAGACAAGGAGTCATCTCTCATTAGTGATGCCGACATCTCAGAAAGCTAAAACACACCCACACATGTATACACACACACACACACACACACACACACACACACACAACAAATCACACATGGAGAAGTGCACACAAGACAAGAGGGACAAATACAGATATAGACAAAAGTACATACAACACAGACATGCATTGAGAAAACAACACGATCAGATGATTTGTTATTTTCTAGTAATGTACTCTAGAACCATCTATGCACTACTGTAATACAAGTCGCCATTATGTCTAAGAGCCCCTTGCTAATTAACATGTTAAAGAGTACATGCGGAATTAACACTGGGTTAGTGGGAGCCTCACAGTGTCTGAGGAGGAGGGACGGTGAGGGATAAGGCTGGGGAAGGAGGGAGGGGATACTAAATAAACTGAAGGGATGATATATGGGATTTGGAAGAAAATTAAGCAGCTGACATTGGTTAGTATTATCCTAAAAAAGTTTGTCATATCTGGCATATCTCCAGGTGGTTCAAAAGAATCTGGGGAAGTGGGTAATGTGGAAATAAACTGGATGAGGAAGAAAGAAATGGACAGAGAGCAGGGCCTAAATCATTTGTGAAAGTACAGTGGTAAACATTGGGTTCAGAAGGATCAATGGGCCGGGTCAGAGGGCCTAGGCTGGGGCTCACCTTGCTCTCACTGGCACTGCTGCTCACCTGGCTGTAGTCTCTGTTGAAGGTGTGCATCAGCAGACGCAGACACTGCAAAATGAAGTGATTTTTTTTTTAGATGATGTTGAATATAATCACTAGAAAAACTTAGAAAAACTAAAGTGAAAGTCGAGAGGATTCAAAGAGCTGTGGTCACCTTGGCAGCCAGCTCCATCTGCCTCTGGTTGGGGCTGTCGGGGAGAGGGCTGCTGCCGGGACTGTGACTGAGGACGGGACTCTTTGCAAAGTCGCTGATGTTGCTGCTCTTGTAAAGCGCATCCTGTCCCGCCTGCAGAGTTGCTTCCAGCTTCTCCCTCAGCAGCAGGTAGTGCCTGGTCTTCTCCACCTGAAACCACAAGCACAAGAAAATTTTACTTCACTTCATGTTATGGTCTCACAGGCAAGGCTCAAAGTATTCATTTTTGCAAGTTAGCTATGCAAAAAAATGATCTGAAGCAATCTCCTTTGTATAGATATCTCAAAAGGTCATGTTTTCACAGGACAGTGCTGTTTTGGCTTCTGGTTGCTGGCAGCAAAACTGATTTTGTCAAAATAGACAAAGTGCCATTATTCCAGTAACAATATTTTGCTAATTTCAGTGTACAAACAGACCTCCTGCAGTAAGCTGAGCTTCTCCAGCTCCCACTGGTGGTCAAGGATGAGGCTGTCACTTCGAGGCCTCCATCCAGCCAGGTTCTCTTCTCCTCTTACATATGCTACTGAGGTGTCCAGCACACGCCTGCGACGGCGTTGCATGCCTGAAGAACAGTACAACAGATCATGCTTAGTACATCAAAACATAATCTCCAGTTTAAGAAATACATTTTTCATTTCCAAAAATGATTTTTTCCCCGTCTTACCTGGACTTCCATTGTCGGCCACATGGCAGAGAGTGACTTCATAAACTCCTGTGACACGATTACTGAAACAGAGAGATGCATATTTGAGAGAGTGGTAACTGACAATTACAGTAAACTACAACTTATGTTTAACCAGAGTTGTCTAGTAGTGTACAATCAATGTAGGATTCAGCCTGTATGAATCTATTAATCTCCACCTCTCAGAGGGCCGGAGGCAGCCGGTGCTGAAAAGGTTTCTGATGGAGCGAGAGGCAGGCAGCTTCGTGTCACGGGAATAAAACATCATGCAGAAATCTTTGGTGATCACTGTTGGCTGAGTGCAGTTCTCCATCTAGTTAAAATATGCAGAATAATAGCGAATGAGAACCCAATCATAACACTGAAACGTCTGTGGCTACAGTTTGGCTAAATTGCTGTCAGTGCTGAATAAATCTTTATTCTAAGTACTGTATAGCAATGATATGAAGCGTGTTCTCTGGTACCTCTAGATAGGCAGTGAGGGTGATGTAGATTTTCTCCCCGTATGGAGTGACCCTGTTCAGAAGCAGAGAGTTGTGCATCGAGCTGTCCCATGCTGCCTCAAATCGGTAGAAAGTTCTGCAGTGTAAGAAACAAATATCACATTTTCTGAAAACAGAAGAGTCATACTAATGAAAAAAATCTGTGCTGGACCTCTTTGTTACTACAAAGAATAACTGAAAGTTTAAAAATGATTGTAGTTATACCTATGATCAACTCCCAAGGAGACGCTGCCGTTAACGAGGAATAAGAAACACGACATGAGTTAGAAGCTGTTAACGGCAACTGTTAAAAGCTGAAAGTCACCAAACAATGGTGTTGTGTGCAAGCTGAAAAATGCATCGAAGCAAAAAGCCAAATAATGATTGATCATAAAAGGTGCACTGAAGCAATGTAAAAAATGATCACTACACAAATTACAGTAAATGTTCTGTCTATATGAGAAACGGAGATGGGTGGATGGATGGATGGATGGTTAGACAGACAGACAGACAGATAGATAGGCATACTTGTCATCATGTTTTGGCCAGAAGTACCCAGAAGACAGGATGTTCAGAGAAAGGATGTTAGGGTCTATGATGGTCTCATCAGTCTCTGGTGTGTTGCGAATACGACCTGAAGTCAAAAGTGTCATGATGAGATTAGTCCCGTGACAAGACAGTATAAGGAAAATGTAGGGCATTTGACTTTTTAACAAACTTGGCCAAAGCTGTTTCTAAATGTTCCTATTACTCACCAATAACCAGCTCTTTCACCTCTTTCCACTCAATATCATTTCCTGTTTCGTGAGCAATGGTGACTGTGATCCTCCTCTGAATGCCCTGTGGAGCCGAGAGAAGATGGGAAGCAAACCGATTTATGATTAAAAATGCATTCTAGCCTAAGATAAAATGGCTGAATGAACTTAATTTGCTGAACTTGGTAAATGTATTTTAACAGGTTTTGAAACTTTATCTTTGTCTTTGAGGAAACATGATGGTAGTACGGTCGAACATGGTCAGACCTGATGTAGGAGGAAGGTGCCGTGGCAGGGCATCCCACATCTGTGGTCCACTACAGCGGGGATGTAGCTGGAGACAGGGAAATTGTAAATGCATAATACTCAAAAATGCATAATGCTCAAACTTTTAACTGAGATAGAAAAGCAAAAATAATTCTTTATGTATGTGAGCCCTTGTGTCCCTTAGTTTTCTTACCAAAGTGGCAACACAACTATAAAGATAAGACTCACTCTCCATTGGCCTCCAGCTCACAGATCTCAAAGAAGACCATGAGGTCGTATTTGGCGTGACGAGGTCCCGCTGTGGAGCGAGTCAGAGTGCTGAGCTTTGTGGCCGGCACTAACGAATGAGGAGAGAACAAATCAGTGTAATAGCAACAGTAGCACAGCAAACTGAACTGAACTGAACAGAACAGAACAGCAAAGGGGTTAAAGAAAAATGAGCAAGAGCAGAACAGGTTATGGATGAGGTCAAGGCAATTTTATTTATATACCAACCACTCTATTACCGTTTATGGGCTGCTTGATTGAATTTACCTATTAAAGATTATTATGGCTGACAGTAAATCATTAAACAAAACTTAAATCTAAAATACTTGAAGAATATATTACAGAAAAATAATAATGTTTGCTATACTGTTAGAAACTCCTGACCTGGTTTAGATAAGGGCATCACTCTGGGGAACTGCCTCCTGGAAGGTCTCAGTGAACTAAAAGAAAGGACAAGGAAACCAAAACATAAGCAAAAAACCTTCTTTCTTATTCATCAGCTGGTGGAAGGTAAAGGTCAAGTCCCTCCTGACCTGATCAGATCTTTGCAGAGCGGAGGGAAGGCCTGTTTCTGATAATGACCGAACACCTCAAAGACGATGGGCTGAGTCTTTATGTACTCCACGAAGGATTTGGTCACCTCTACTGTGATCTAACAGAGAAAAAAAGAATTAAAAAAACATCTTCACCCTTCCCATAACTAAGAAAATACTTTTAAAGAAAAGTAAAAGTGTTGCAGTAGTTGTAGTCAGAGATATTTGTTAATAATAGAATCAAATGCATTGGTCAGTGCTCACATTTTGCACATGATAGAAGCCGAGCGGAGGTCCCCTCCCCGTGTTCTTCAGCGGCTCGGTGGAGAAAGCTTCATCATGACGGTGGATGAAACTGAAATGAGAGAAGTCAATTAAACATCTGACACGGTTCTGCTCTTTTATTACCTTCTTTCCTCTTTAAACACTGCATGTTTTGACTGCATGTTTGACGTGTCGCTGTTCACTCACTTGAACTGGCAGAAAATGTCGGCGTACTCGGCTGAGATGCTGGAGGCCTGTAAGACGGTGACTCTGAAGGTGAAGGTGCTGCCAATCTTCAGGTGAGACAGCGCTTTCTCCGGAGACAGGTCCAGAGGAAGATCCAGGCCCAAACTCTTCACTGGACTGTGAGGGGCCTCCAACACGGCTACAGGAAGCAGAGGAACACACGCAGCAACATAGCTGCTTCATACTAAAGCTGTTTTAAATGACTTTTCTGGTATTAAGTAATTAAGTATTTATTTCAAAATTAGTGTCCCAACTTTGAAACATATGAAAGTGTGGTGTTTCTAACCTATTAACAAGTGGCTGTGTATAAAACAGACACTGAGGAGTTTTAACACATACTTGTCAGTGGAAGAATACAAGAAGCTAAAAGAAAAAGACAAATGTTATAAGATCACTACAGTATTTCCACCTTTCCCTGCACAGATCTCCTCTCACCTGCACAGGTGTTGTTGTTGACTTCATCTGCAGAGATTCCTATCTCCGCATTTTGTCCCTCTCCCTCCACAATTCGCAGCTCCTCCTGGGAGGTGTTGGAGTGGGACAGACCACCAGGACATGACTCAGTCTGGAACTAACACAAGACAGGACCTTAACATCCAATTGCAGTAAATATTTCACCATTTTGTCTATCTGTCAGGGAATGAACGGTCCCTCTCAGGAGGATAAGGATAATCACTTTATTTGGCCAAGTATGTTACACACAAGGAATTTGTTTCCAGTACAGAACCAAGGCAGCCATCTGCAGTGCCAACTCAACCAATGGCTCTAACCATCGGGGGCAACTTATATTGCTTTGGACTGTCGTAGAAGACACATTTTGAGAATTAGAATTAGCTACACATAAGTACCTTCTCAAACTGTTTGTCTTCAAAGGAAATCTTGGCAGTGCCTGACTGCCTCACACCAGAGCCATAATCAGGAGCCTCCTCGTCAGCTAAAGACAGAGGATACAAGTGTTACAATCATCCTTAAAGAACATATATACTGACTTGTTTACCAGCATCTGACCATGTTAGAACTGATCCTCAGCCTTCATTTGTACCTGAAATGGCCTGCACAGCTACTCTGAGGAAGCCCTTCACCTCTCCTTTCTCACTGACGATGGCCACACGATGTACCAGGGGCACCGGATACAGCAGGTTGCTCAGGTACACAAAAGCCCTGAGGAGAAGAGAAGATGCAATGATGACGGGATTTCACTTTTAGTACATGTTTACTGTGGAACAAAAGTGCAGGGTTTGGATTAATACTGCCTCTAAGAGAGAACAAGTGTTTCTTGATGTTGGGCTAATGGCTGACCTGCCGACCAGACGGAACCAGGGGAAGCGATCGTAGAAGGGGTCGCCTCCGGTCAGGGCGTGGTCACAGTCCTCCACAGCACTGCTGGGGAGCTCTGCAGCACGGTCGTACATTTCTCTCATCAGGTCCAGCCTCTGCCTACATGGGGCAGTTTGAAAACAAAAGCCTGCTGAAAACGTGGTATGTTGTGCTTCATGGTCAGAGCCTCACTCACATATGTCATCGTAGATCAGATTCATATCCAATATCTGACTGTGTGCATGTAATTAGAGGTGTTCACGTCGGATCCGGATGCATGTCACTTACAAATATGAACGTGAAACATCAACACAAAAAGATCAACTCTGGCTAAAATGTCAGAATTGAGCATTAAGGCCTGTAATATGGACGCAGCTTTCATTGTTTTGAATGATAATGATTTGCACTCTGAAACTCTCATGATTTTACTGGGGAATGAAAAGACAACAGACAGCATGCATCTACAACTTTAATGACAAATTCCTAGTACCTGAGTTTCTCCAGAGTCCAGTAATGTGTGGCTCCATTCTTCTGATCCTGTACTTCAACGGCTACGATGGTTCGAGGGAAAGGTCGTCTTTCCCTCTCTGTGGCCACGCTGGGAGGCAGCAGGTCAGGTGGCAGCGGAGAGTAAAGAGTGTCTGTCAACAGGACAAACTGGAACTGCACCTGTGGCCAGCACAAACCATAAAACAGGAGTGATCGCTTGTGCATGTCACATCTGAACATTCAAATTAGGATTCAGGTATTTTAGACAAGAAAGCCTAAACTAATACTTTACTGCTATCACCACAAAAAGGAAGGCTTCATTAAACCACAACACTTTAACAGATTAAATACAGCTGCTGTTAACCTACAGGTATGAAACATCAGAAGGAGTTTATAGCTGGAATATTCAGAATAATGTTAAGTGCAATCTTCTGGTGGCTGTAATATAACATACAGTTTTGGGTGAAATTAATGACTGGCTGAGACAAGAAGCAGTAATGGTTCATTTCAATTGTAAAACTGGCAAAATTGTACATTTTGATATTCATACCACCCTTTAGTAACAGCATGTTGTACTGTGCCCTAGACATCGATGGCTCACAGGGCTAAGTCACTGTGGTAAGTCCAAGGAATTAATTATTTTAATTAAGAGACTCACACTGATGCAAATCCAATTATATTTACAATGGCAGATACTTCATACACTTCATTCTGCCTCCAGTCTGGAGCAAAGAGCAGCTACGTGTTCCTGCACCAGATGTACACTTTAAATTAATTTGCATTCTGACTTAAAATGAATTCTTACCACTACAAGAAGAGTATTATGGTTTTATAGAGGGCTCACATCAACAGTATCAAATGAAGGTGCTGAACTAGAATTAGATTGTTATTTGGAAAAATCTTTCTTTTTGTTTACCTAAAATAACAATTTAAATAAGAGGCTAGAAGTAACAAATTTCCCACCTTCTTCTTCAGCTCCACACTGATAGCATTGGCCTCCTTGAGGAAGATGGCGTTGCCCCAGAGGAGATCCCTGAGAGATGTGAACTGGTAGAAACGCCACTTTCTGAAAGCCCACAGAGCCAGCTCGGTCTCGTGCTTCGTCCACGCCACTGGAGAGTGGGAGAGTTTTAACGTGTTCAAATAAAAGCCTGATTCAAACATGACTGTTTGATGAGGAAGGAGAAATAAAAAGCGATAGTCACCTTCCTCTTCGGGATCATCTTCTTCCTCAGGTGATTCCAGGTATCGAGAGTCCACTTGTTTCCGAAGAGCCTCCAGTTTACTCTCATAGTCCTGAAAGAATATACACGATCCAGATCAGAAACAGAACAAGTTCACAGGCATGATATTTAGCTTTTGCTTCCAATAAAAAGACAATCAAATTTGTGGGTTTTTTATTTTCATGGTTCAGAACAGCAGTGTCAAATGGAGGTTTCTCTCACCAGCCTTTGCTGTTCAAGCAGATTACTGGCTTCTTCTCTTTCTTTGCGATACTGATCCTCAAGTTCCTGAAGCCTGAAACGTAAAGTTATATACAGTAGTTACATGTAAGTACAGAGTATAATGTAATAATCACAGTGACCATCTTTGTAATATTCTTCCACACACACACCTCTGCTCCATCTCCTGCTTCATGTCGATGCCTTGTTTCTCCAGCAGCTCTCTCTGAGCAAAGGCCCAGTCGACGGGCTCCACCGGCGTCTCAGAGCACGGCGTCCGCTCTCGCTCCAGACGAGCCTGCTCTGGGTCGTTGAAGCGAAACACGTGGCTCTTGCCCATAATGATGCGATTCCCTTAAGATACAAATGAAAAGTTCAAATGTCAGCTTGTATCATAATGTTGTCAAGAAAAAGCTTAGTGCTTAGGCATTCAAAAATAAAGGTTAACCACAGATTATCCTTTTAAAATAAAACTACATTCACTAATCAGAGAATTTTTTTGCAATCTCACAAAATTAGAATGTACCAAAAACATAACAAATGGAATGATATGCTTCTGTGTCTATTACTTCTTAGTATGTTTATACTAATATGCACAGCAGCTTTGTTTTACACCTTTTGAAATACTATGAAGACTTAGCAGGCGTTCAGACAGGGTACGGTAAAAACGCAACTCCCTGCTGTGTTTTAACGCAAGGGGAGGTAAGGGTTTGCAGGGCAGTGTTGCATGTGTGTACAATATGGCCACGTTGTGACGAGTCAACGTGGGTGTGGAGAGTTTATATCAGTGAATGCTAGCAAAGTAAACAAAAGTCTTCTTCTCATGCGCGTCCACGTGTCAACCGTCCCCCATACAAGATTGGTCAACGCAGCACCTTTGCCAGATCATGCCACCGTCTGGTGCAGCAAAAGTTGAACCAGATCCAACTTTGTCACCACACGGGGCCGGAGCCATTGATGGTACCGGCTGCGGTGAACACAATCCCCCAAAGAGATTAATTGAGAGGGCTGTGTTTTTCTGTCACGTTTGAAATTCAGTCTGAACGCAGCGCTATACTTACCAGACCGCAGAACAGTGGGTGAGGTCACTCTCTTTCCATTGACATATGTCTCTGCCCCCTCACATGGCTCAAGTATGACACATCCTGTTCCAGAAAAGGTTCATAAAACCATTACAACATTAGTATTTGAAAACATGAACAGATTGTAGGCTTGATTTTAAATATGTTTTTAGATCCTGGAACATTAATTTAACATTGTAATTTGACATGTGAAACCACAGACAGAGCAGCCAGCCTTTACCTTCTCCCTGAGGTCCTGTGGTGCTGCTGAAGGTGCAGTGTTCGTCTTTGATAAAATGGCTGCTAAGAACAATGTCTTGGCGAGTCTTGGCATTTTCACGGCCCACTCTGAGGGAAGATAAAAAATTATGCAAAGTCCCACTGTACAGCACCATATCTGGATTACGTAAATCTCAAAATCAAAAAATATTTAAACGCTTACTTGGTGAGCCCATCCTTAATGTAATACAACAGGCACTCAGACATCAGTGGGTCCTCGTTCAGGTTCACCAGATGAGGCGTCTAAAGGGGAAATTGTGGCAAATACGTTTTTCTGTGTGAGTTTAGACAGATGTTGTAAATATTATCAAACTGGTGTGCAGCCATGCCAAGGGTCTAACCTTTTTCGGGGAGAAGACGCCCACAGTGCCTCCATCTTCTCTCATGGCAACACCCATCTCAGCAAGCAGGGCCTCTCTACATGAGATTTTACAGACAGCAATGGGGTCATAGTTGTAAAAAGATATGGTTTAGGGATGTAACATGGGATGTTTTGTCCATGGATGGCACCAGTTTTTTTTTTATCCCATATCAAAGTTTAACAAGCCTGGTAGTAGTAGAGGAAAGGTCAAAGCCTCGCTAAAGGCATTAGGATTCATGCATGAATATTTAAGTCCAACCTTTCCATGCGAATTGCCTCAGTACGACGCAGCTTCTCCTCCCAGGTTTCATTGAGCTCAGCGATGATTTTCTCAGTTTCCTGTTGGTCGAATTAGGACAGACATCTAAAAATTATACACACTCAAGTCGGGATTATTGATGTTGCTTATTCTTGGATTGATCAAGTGCTTTCCACCAGGGTTTCATTATCTAACTTCCCATTTCCCAATTCTACATCCTTAACAATTTCACTATCATTCTCGCTACCTTGAGCCTCTCGATGGTCTCTTCGCTGGCCGGGCTGAAGATGCGATCATGGAGGTTGCTGATGGACGCGGCACGACTGGACAATGCCGAAAGCGAGGGGGAGGGGCTCATTCCTGTCATGGCATTGGTCACTGTGGAGAGATCACCCCTTTGATTGACAGCCTGGCGATTATTCACAAAGTTCTTGTAATCGCACAGGTCTGCCAGAGTGAGGTGTTGCATGGCAGAGAGCAAGGAAGGAAGGAAGGATAGAAGGAAGGGTGGTAGGAGCAGTCGCCGGGCGAATCAGGTGAAACATTAGGGAGTGAGAGGAACACGCAGAGAAACAGATAAAAAAGGAAAAAGAAAACAGGGGAACGACAGGGAAGAGTACACAAAAAGAAGAGAAAGCTCAAATAATGGATCAAATAAGCAAAGGCCAATGCAGACAGGGCGAAAAGAGCAAGTGAAACTGACAGAGACTAAATGTCAGACACCAGAGGAATTTCTCTGAACATCTCTGGCACTCAACAAGAAATGAAACCACAAATATCGACTGTACATTACTACAATGCACAATACAGTCTGGGTTTTACTTTTTATAGTATGTGAAGCAAGTTCTAGTATCCTCAAACTGCTTAGCTCAGCCTTTGGTAACGCGGCTCCTGGCAGTGCAGGCCTCAAAGCTCGTGACTCATAGCTTCATTTAGCTCCACACACACAGAGAACCAGGATGCAAAGAAAAGAGCTCCTCAGCAATCTAAAATGGCATCCTTCCAGTCAGTTCTTTCTTCCATGATCACTGGTCATTGAAAAAAAAAAAAAAGCAGCATGCCTCATGCCAATCCTGGCTTTGACTCTGCCTGCTCCCCTGTTTTGTAATATATAATGGAGAACAGGAACAAAGAGTCATCACAGGGTCACAGCGCAAAGCTTTTCAGCCAACTTAGAACTGTATTATCAGAATCAAAGCATTTAGAGCTTCCCAAATTAAAGAGTGAGAGAAGGCATGTATTGCCATTGAAATGAGAACCAGTGGAAAGGAAAAAGGAAGCCATTTTGCCAAATTCATGAGAAAAAATAGTGATGATTATAGCAGCGATGTTTAACCTCACTGATCATTTTTGTGTTGTTCTAAATAATTATTGCATGGTTTACATTTTTTTAAATCTAATTTCCATGTACATCATGGATCTGTCTTTGCATACAGCCTCTTGAAACCTTTAGTTAAGTCTCTGGTGTGGTGGAGGAGGAGCTCAAGAATAATTTCTTTAGTTGCAAAGTGCAGGCTTGCAAGAGTCATACACACATTTCAAACCAGTGATGTTGGGGATGGTGCAGCAATTCACTGATAGAAAAAAGGAGAGAAGAGACGGTGTGTGAGAAATACCCACACTCCAACTTCAGCTGTCAACCTCTGCAATCACAAAATATAAAACCTCTCTACGTGCACATTTGCCCGAATCTGTCTGCTACACATTTAAAACCATATATGTGCATTTCTGTGAGCAAGAGCCGTGCTTGCCCATGTGACACTCACTCTCTATGATGTCTCCCAGGCCCTGTGCATACAGCAGGTCCTTGAGGCGCGCCACCTCCTCCTTCAGCTCACGCACCAGACGGTTGTTGGGGTCCTCGTTTATCACAGCGTTACAGCGAATCTGTTTGGCACGATCAGCATACCTGGTTGGTAGAACAATAAGACATCAAGGTCAAGAAGCCGTGAAGTTTTAAAGCACGATCCCACATTCTCTCCATCCTGAACTGCGCTGAGCAGCTAATGACAATATGAGCCTAAAATTATAAGGAAGAACTGTTCTGTAATGATGCTGCATACATTTGGTAAGATGCTATACAGTCACTGCAAAGTGCAAAATGGCCAGCAGACATTTGTACCATATTGCAGACATCTGATTTAATTATCTTTAAAAAGAGATTTTATCAAACTGCTTCTCACCGTAGGGTACTGAGGGTTTCATCATAGTTAATATCAGCAGGGCTAAGGGCAGCCACCATGGCTGTGCGGGAGTTTCCTCCTAAAGGAAAGAAAATATGTCAATGCATCAACTGACATAAAATTTCTTTTCTTGTGGTAAAAGGCTAAAGAGTAATACTCTGTTTGCATACCCAAGTTCTCCCTCAGCAGCCATGTCAGAACTGAGTCTCTATAGGGAATGAAACTCTCCACCTTCTTCTTTTTCTTGTTCTGTTCGCAAAAGATTTATTTATTATTCACTGACAAAATACACAGTACATTCTATTAGCCTTTTAAAAGTTGTGACAGCTGGCATCACTTACCTTGTTGGGTGCTGAGTCCTGATGCATCAGAAGAGAAATACCAACATTTGTTATTTTGACTACACAAAATAAGAATTTGCAACAGCAGGTAAATTGTGTAAAACATACCAGTTCAGCTAGAGCAGAAATAACTTTTCCCAGAGTAGTTAAAGATTTGTTGATGTTTGCTCCTTCCTGCAAATACAAAGAAAAAACAGCAGTAATGTGACATCTATTCATGTGCACATTGTGATTGCTGATCTGTCATGCACTAATGACTAGTAAAGGTCTTTTCTGTCTCACAAATCTAGGGTAGATGCAAAAATACCATAAAAAACATAAAATCCTGTTACCTTCAGTCTAGTTCCTTTAGCTCCAGTTGAGTCGGCTCGTTCGCTCCCAGCTAAGTCCACCAGACTGATCTTACTGACCTGTGCAAAACCAGACAATATTTTCAAATCAAAGACTGTGTTGTTATCAATCAGTACAACACATTAGTCAAACAACAAAAATGCAGACAGTCTCAACTTGGGTGATAAAATCTATCCTGCCTCGTAGCATCCCTGCATAGCTGCAGCTTAGCTCTTACTAATGTCTTTCTAAGAAGCAGAAAAACATCTTTCTCTCAGGCAGTGTGATTTCTCAGGCATGACTATGAGGTGATCTTGGTGGCTGAACCTTTTCTGATGTGTTGTCTGTCTCCATGTCGTGTTTCTTCTGTGTGAAGATGATGTTAAAGACGGCGTGAGAGCGGCTGCTGGTCTCGTTCATGTTGGTAGCAGCCACAGTCCTGAAAAAGAAACAGATGCTGTTAATTTAGATGCATCTTTGTCTCTCATACATTCACGTCCATCCGTCATTATCTGCTCCTTTGTTCCATGCGCGGATTAACAAATTTATGGCAACCAAAGTGTTCCTCTGCTCATCTTTGTCATCCGTCATTACATGTATCTATCAAGTGGTTTATCCATGATCGGCATTCAGGTTCTGTCACCTAGCCTTGTTTCCAGAGTCCATTAGGTCCTGGATGTCGTTGTAGGAGGTGACGGCAAGTTTGGACAGATCCTCGACATAGGGTCCCATCAGAGGGTGCTCTCTGACACGCAGGTTTCCTTTGTTTTTGGGATTCAGCAGGTCACGCACGCGCTCGCAGTAGATCTCCATGTAACTCACCTGTGGGAGGGGAAAAGACAGTCATGACAGGGAAACATCTTATGACTTAGTAATCACTACTTCTCAGTGTATCATGGTACAATCAAAGAGTATAATTCAAGTGAATGCACTTCTGACTATTTCATACAATAAGAACAGCTGAGCTCACCCACCTCCACAGAGTAAGACCTGCTGTTGTCATTATTGCTGTCATTGATCTTGGTGAAAAGGTCCTCACACATCTAGAAATAAAGAAAGGAAAGTCATTTTTGTAGTGTACATGAATTCTCTACAAATGAACTGACTATTTGCTTTCTCAGTGGACACATTTACACTGAATGCTATGTTACCAGAGGTATGATTCCTTGCTGGTCCTTCTCCTGACGTCCCATCATAGTGTAGCTTTTGCCGGCTCCTGTCTGGCCATATGCAAATATGCACACGTTGTAGCCTTCAAAGGCGTGAAGCAGCATCTCCTCTCCGATGTCCTTGTACACCTGCATCTGAGATGCATAGTTGATGTCCTCAGGCTGCATATGGAGAAGGAGCAGAGTGGGGAAAAACAAAAAAGGATGAGAAACAGAAAATCATTGTTTTTCACTGCAGCAGCTCATTTGAGCAAGCATCAAAATTCACTTGATGCTAAAGGCAAAAAGTCTCTTCCCTAATTTTCTTTTCTGATGTGCAGTGCTGTAGAAGTTTTTTTTTAATTGAAAGGGGAAAAACCAAAGTGAAGCATTGAAACTCACCGTGGTGTGTGACCAGTAGGAAAAGTCAAAGTTGAAGCTCTTAGTTTCTTTTGGCTGCTTGGGGTTGAGGATTGCTAAAATCAAAATAGATCAACGAGAGGCATCAGAAACTGTGACACTCCAATAACCTGATAATTTCTTTTGTTGTGTTTTCACTGAAGGTATCAATAGCAGCTGTTTTAAATGCACCATCGTCCTTTTTATGATGGGATGGGTGCAGGGTTGTGTAGAATGTGAAACAACAACAGAGCGAGAGCAGATGCAAACTGAACCCACTGCATCACCCCCTGTGGACAA